TCAGACAGTATAAGTAGAAACATGGAGAGTTAGATGCTGGTGGAGATGGCTACAGTTGTAAGAAATAGTTATGTTCTTTCCTCATTTCTTAGGCTGTAGAAGGTACATTTAGTTGTTGGAAGAAACAAGGTAGTGAGGGAGATCCCTGTTATTCTTGAGTTCTGAAAGCACGTTGGGAAAAGAGATTTTGAAAGATTGTAGTCTATAGGGTACGGACTTTTAATTTCAAAGCTGAAATGTTTATCCAAAAAATTGAAAAGCTAAAATGGAGTTTAAAAAAATCTTGTCAAGCTTTGAGATTATTGTGTGACAAAACAAAAACAGAATTTTCAATTATATGACAGACCCTGTTAACACTTTTTACTACTTTGAATTTAGTGGGTGTAGGAGACTCCAAAGTTAGGCACTTAATCTTCGTGAGGCTTTTTTGTTTGATAATGTAAATACATTATCTTTTCATTTGACTTTTAAAAATTTTATACTAAAATGTGCATAGACTGGAGAATGTTAAAACGAGCAGCTTAATGTTTGTTAGTTTCTGATTAACCAGAATTAAATGCAAACTTCTAGATGGAATCAAGAGGAGACTATCATGGGTTTCTCTCTGGATTTTATGGTGACTTGATTGAACATTACTTTTGAAGGGAGCAGTATGCAGAGGGGAAGATGAGAGGGGCTGCTCCGGGAAAGAAGACGTCTGGTCTGCAACAGAAAAACGTGGACGTGTAAGCAGCTCCATCTTTTTATTTGCATGCCTAAATTCAAGCTTGGGCCTCTGTGTTAGCGTGTTTTGAAAATGGGGCCTTTGGGGACCTTGTTGGATCTTCAAAAAGGGTTGGTAAGAATATACTTATTCATTCTTTAATTTTTCTTGTTAAAGTATCTTTCTTGGTCTCCTTTGAAGTTGTATGTATGTGCATGTAATGTATTCCCCTTTCATAAAGATAATATTGAATTGTCTGTTGGACAGTGTTGAGTTTATGACAAGGTTTGCTTTTTTAAAGTAGTGCTAAAAATATGTACTAATTCCCCTACTCCCCTGGAACCCATGGTAAGGAACGTGTGAGCTGTTAGGAGTTCAAGTAAACATTCCCTCCCAAGAATACTTACTTATTAAACACTTAAGATTCTAGAGCAGGGGTCCTCAAACTATGGCCCGCCGAGGACATTTATCCGGCCCTCCTGGTGTTTTAGCCCTGTTTGTTTTTTTTACTTCAAAATAAGATACGTGCAGTGTGCATAGGAATTTTTTCATAGTTTTTTTTAAACTATAGTTCGGCCTTCCAGTGGATCTGAGGGACAGTGAACTGGCCCCCTGTTTAAAAAGTTTGAGGACCCCTGTTCTAGAGACTATCTTGTTAGTAAGCACAGGTTGGAAGTCATGTACATGAACATGTCATATATACCTAAAGCTTTTGTACCTGAAATGGATTACTTAATACATGTCTTCAATAATGTTAAGAAAACAATTTTAAAAATACGAGAAAAATGAATACCTTTATTTAAACCATTTCATTGTGAACATAATCTACACATAAAATCCAAGATTTCAATTATATCAAGAAGAGTTGTACAATCAGTACCACAGTCAATTTTAGCATATTTTCTTTTTTCTTGCACTCCTTGTTAATAGCTTCTCATTTTCCCTCAGCCTCCTTTATCACACTTGTAAGAAACCATCAATTCAGTTACTGTCTCTAGATTCACACATCCCCTGGGTTTCATACACCAAAACAAAACCCAAAAGCAACTAACAAGAAAGTAGACTGCATTAAAAACTAGAACAAATTTAAAACGAGTCGGGAGATCAGATGATACAGGTATTAGAAATTAATTTATAACCCACTGTCCAATCCATTCTGCGCAACAGCAGTGCTCGTCACATCCCTGGATTATTTTCATAGGGGCTTCACCAGAGGCTTAACAATCCACGCAGAGTTCCTCTCTTAACTAATAAAAGATTTGAATAGGTCAAAAGAGGGACCGAATAAGATGCTACGTTTTAGCTTAACTATACTATAATCGTCTCTAAAGTATTCTCTGACTGATAACAAGAGTATTGACATCCCTGGTCTACGGTCAGAATGGATTCACCAGAGACTACTCTGTGTGTGGACTCTGCACGTGGATCTTTGGGCTTCCGTTGTCATCCATAGCCTCCTGTGAACCGAATGTTGATATTTTAAGCTCCGATACCATTCCCTCCTTTAGCTTTGGGTTCTTATTCACAGTCCTGGAGCCCTACAGGCTGGTGTGCATCCATGTGGACTTAGTTGGTGCCTCACTTAGTTGGCTGCTTGTTTGAAGACAATAAGCCTTTTAAGACCCCAGACGATACTGTTTTTGATATCCAGGCACTATCTAGTTTCTTAACCACAATTTGTTGTAGCATCATATCTTCAGTGATCTCCTCATAAGGACAAGTGTCAAGCAGGGCCATGTAGATTGTGACTAGAATTAAGTTCCAGCCCAAAATCTATTCATATAGCAATGGTTTACATGTTTCTCGTTTCCTTTAGAGACCTTGTCATTTTATGTTAGAGAACATTATTATCTCCCTGGGGCATTAATTTAACCAGTGGTAATAGAATTTAAAGAACAGTTGAGAAAAGATTATACAGTCAAGCTGGCTATGAACTGTGATGCATGAATTACCAACTTGTACAGATTAAATTCTTAGGGACTGGAGAAAATCAAATACTGACATCTTCAGATCTCTGGCCATGTACTGGTCATTTTCTGATACACTTACATTCTGTTCTTTTAGATTTATTGATTAGACTTTAATTTTGCATTTTGAAACATTTAAAGATTTTTTAAAACCTTTTTTTGGTGAAAAAAAAAACTTAGCAAGGAAGAAGGCACTGTGACGTGCCACTCAATGGCAGTTTGTTTCAGTTTTTTATTTATTATTGATTGTTTCCCCGAAAATAAGACAGTGTCTTATATTAATTTTTGCTCCCAAAGATACGGTAGGTCTTATTTTTAGGGGATGTCTTGTTTTTCCATGAAGAAGAATATGGTACACATTTATTGTTGAACAGAAAAAAAGGAAATTTATTACCTGTATACGGTACAGTAGTAGCTGTCATCACAAACTAGCATAACCAGACAAACTGGATCCTACAGTATCAAGAATTTCATGTTACTACCATTATTTCCATGTACAGCAATCTGGTACATTTACTCATAATCTGGTACATTTACTCGCACTTCCTGTCTGCTCTGGCTGCGCTGTGGCTAACAGTGAGCTGTGCTGTGGCGTCCACCACTAAGTGTGTGTGGGGGTGGGGCTTATTGAGGAGGTCTTATTTTCAGCGAGAGGCAAAACTAAGTAGGTCTTATTTTCGGGGGTGTGTGTGTGTGTGTTTTACTTTTGGAGAAACAACGTAGGTGGCCAACCCAAACCATCAAGTCGATACTGATTCCTGCCATCAAGTCGATACTGATTCCTAGTGAGTTAACCCTGTAGAACAAAGTAAAACTGCCTGTGTTTTCCTAGACTAACTCTGCAGGAGTAGAAAGGCTCTTCTTTCTCCCATGGAGCTAACTAGTGGTTTCAGATGACCTTGTGGTTGGTTAGCAGCCCAGTGTATAACCATTAGGCCACCAGGGCTCCTATACCTAGGTGGTAGTATGGTGAGAAGTTTTTTATGTTTGAATATTACATGTGTGTTCTAGCTTTAAGATGTTTTAGTTCCCACTAGAAAAGTAATGAGTGTGTAAATATCTGAAGTAATGCTTACATTTCCCCACCCTTTGACAGCTCCCAAGTCTTTCAGAAAGGACCCTCAGCATCTGCCATCCAGTAATCCTGACTTAGAGTCAGCCTATAGGACAGGCTAGCACTACCTATGTGGGATTCTGATACGGTTGGCAAGACTCAAAAGCCTGAATTGTCTCCCTTGGAGCTGCTGGTGGTTTTGAGCTGCAGACTTTGTGATTGGCAGCCCAACTGGTTCAGTCAGGTTCATCTAGTTCTTGTATATTTCCTGCTTCAAACAAGGAATTTGAGAAGTGCTCCTAGGAGCCCTCCTTTTAGTAGGGAGAGTATCACTCACAATGTGAGAGAATTTTAAATAGCTGCTATTCCTTGGTAGAATAGAAGGTCTGTTTTAATGGGAAATATGAAAAATCTGGTGATTATAAAAATATATATTTGTTTCATTTTGATTTGAGGTTTTAATGTTACGTTATAGTCTGTTCTGAATATGCTTAAGTATAACTGCTTCTGGTTAGAAAGCAGTATTATTTCTAAGCTGATAGTGAATACATGTGAATTTTGTTGTCACTTTGACCTCCAGGATTCTCTGCTTTGTCTAGTTATTTTCCTTAAAGCATGATTTAATGACTTCACTCATTCTTTAAAGTCGAAAATAAAGCACAAACAGAAAATCAGTTTATTATATGAAGCTGAATGCTGTTTGAGAAACTAGCTTGCATGCTTAAATAATGCTATAAGCAGAAAGTTGCGGAGATGTCTAAGAGTCTTCGCTGCATTAAGGTAGAAATCAGTTAGTATATTTATGGTATATGGTGGGGGGAGCTTCCATGCCAAACCAAACTCGTTGCCATTGAGTCAATTCTAATTTAAAGCAACCCAATAGGACAGGATAGAATTACCTGAGCCTGACCTTTATGGATAGAGTAGAAAGCCTCGCCTTTTCCCTTGGAGCTAACTGGTGTTTTTGAACTGCTGACCTTGGGTTAGCAGCCCAACTCGTAAGTAACTTATGCCGCCAGAACTCCTTAGAGGGAGACTAAGGACTTTTAATTTCTCTGCACTCCCATAGGTTGTTAAGGACATAGACAAGTAAAGTTCATAGTTTTATTTGACTCACGAATGGCATCCAACAAGAAATTTGTGTTAAAGAATTGCTTAGAGAGGCAAGAAAAAGGACTGACTACTTCAGATGGCTAAAAGAGTTATAAAGTGAACCCTAGTTTAAATAGTGAGTAGTTAATAGCATGTGTATTATTTAAAGCTAAGGAAACATAACACTATTATACTGTTTCAGTTTGTCCTACCATAAGTGTAATTCTATAGTCTTGGAATTTATAAACTCATCCTTCTGCTCTAGAGATACTTAACATAAAGGGCAAATATAGGAATTTTCCATTTGCCATCATAGAAATAAATGGTCGTGAGTTAAATTACTATTGATTCCCTTGAATATGATTGAATAGAGCCTGCAGTATTGAAAAGGAGAGAGTGTTATTTAGATAAATCCATGAAAGTTTGGTCCTGTAACAGTGGAAAGGTCCTACAAGTAAACAAATCCAAAATTGGATTATGTTGATTTTAAAGTACTCTAACTCTAAGTGAGATAGTTAACCTTTAGAATTTTATTTTGGTATAAATATTAATCCACTAACTCCAGAAGAAAGTCTCTTGGAATGTTCGTGGTTTGTTTACCTATTATACGGAGGAAGTGTAAATTTCATTAAGTATCAGTAAAGCCAGAAACTACATTATTGCCATACCTTAACCAGACTTTTTTTTAATTTTTCCATGAACCTGACTTGGGTATCAGGGCAGAGGCATCTTAATAGCAGTGATTATTTAATCTTTCTTTCTTCTCTTTTAGGAAAACAAAAAAGAATAAACAGAAAAGTAAGCTTTTTTTTTTCTTAAATAAGTTTTTGTCTTTAACATTTACATTTTGAAATCATGGATAAGGTAGAAAGTAATACAATAAAAGATGGTAATATTATTAAACGTTACCTTATAATTCATGCTTGATAGAATTGTTCATTACATGGTTCTTTGTAGTATCTATGCAATGAAAGAAAGTTATATGTGTTAAAAGACTTATTTTCCTTAAGAGTTTCTTATTGGCTGCACTGCCGCATTTCACACCCCCACCCCTGTCTGCCTTTTTATAGCACCTGGCAATGGAGATGGTGGCAGTACTAGTGAGACACCGCAGCCTCCTCGGAAGAAAAGGGCCCGAGTAGATCCAACTGTTGAAAATGTGAGTTTTTTCTTAGGATTTTGAATTCCATGTTATAATTTTTTTGTCTCGGTCATGTGTTAAATACTCATTCAGATAATCGTAGAGTGTATGATGTGGTTCTTTCTTAAAGCATGGTAGCATGATTGACCATTAAAATTAATACTGCATTGATTTTTGTCAAAGAATATATTCCTGTATATCTTTTTCCCCTCTGTTGGTGCTAAGCCCTCCCATCAACCTCAATTCATTTTCACATAAATTTTATCTACAGTTTACATGTGAACTCGGTATTTTTTAGATGTCACACTAAATGATTTTATAAGTTCCAGTATGGTTTAAAAAGCAACAGAAAAAGGAAGCCTTTCAGTTACATATATACCTGTTACAGGTATAGTCGTATAAGTGGTAAAGTGTCTCGTTTGGATTTATAGTTACATTTATAAGTTCCCAAGAATTTGAAAGGTAGTGTTTTGATATTTAGTGTAGTTTTTATTTCCAAAGCTACAAAGAGCAACCAGACAAACCCAGACCGAACTCCCTGCCCTCAAGGTGATGCCAGCTTGTAGCAATCCTATAGGACAGGGTACAGCTGTCTTGTGAGTGTGAGACTAGAATTCTACAGGAGTCGAAAAGGCATTTTTCCCTGGAGGAGTGGCTGGTGGATTTGAACTGCTGATCTTGGTTGCCACCAGGTCTCCTGAAGAAGCAAAAGCGGAATACTCAAAAACTGGTCTGTTTTGAACCCTTAGCGCCCTTAGATAGCTACTAAAGATTTACTCAGCCGTCCATACATTTACATCTATATTCCAACCCCTCTGGTGGTGTAGCGCATCAAGCATTGGGCTGTCAACCCTCACAGTTGGTGGTTCAAACCCACCAACTGCTCTATTACGGCTTTTTAAAGATTGCAGCCCCAGAACCCCTGTATAGGGTTGCTGGGAGTGAGAATCGAATCTACTCGATGGCTGGGGGATGTGGGGTTATGTACTCAGGACGGAGCTTTTATCTATCAGCAGTGCATTGGGAAATTCATGTTAAAAATACATCAAGTCAGGTTGTTTACTAAGAAGGAGATTGTCTAAAAGAATTTTGCCTTCATATGAAAATACACTAAATGGAGACTACTTTGGTTTAAGATAAGGTTCTTCCAGCAGCTGCAATATAGTCTTTTCATTTATAATTCAGTGACTTTTAAAATTGAGAAAAAACTGGTTATTTAGCAAGAAAAAAATGATTTTTAATTTCTCTTTCTATTTAGGAAGAAGCATTCATGAACAGAGTTGAAGTCAAAGTCAAGATTCCTGAAGAACTGAAACCATGGCTTGTTGATGACTGGGACTTAATTACTAGACAAAAACAGGTAATTTGAAACCTTCACAATTGCAAGCTGTGTTCTTGACTGAAACCCCCTAGAGCACTTTCTCCCCAAAAAAAGTTTTTAAAGAAAAGTGTTTGTGAGTTTTAGTGTTTGACTAGTATATGTTATTGTTTTCATTTAGTAACTGAACAATTTAACAAACAAAATGACTTGGATCAGAAGAAAGTATAGTATATGCTTAAGAATGTAATAAGGAAAGGTAGAGCTGGATCGCTGATGTATTCTGATAATTGATAAGGCAAAACCAGCACATTTCCTGTTTTTTAGGAAAGGACTGATTTCAGAGTAACAATTAGTTGATAAGAAAAGGTTCTTCATTTGTAGGGGACTTCTGACTGAGAAATGCAAAAGGAATTATTGTGTCATGACTCCTGATCAAGTAGTGTATAGGTATATACCGATATACCTATGTATAGGTAATCGTTACTGTTTTGCCTAAAAGCTTTCGGCAAAAAGTGCTGGAGAAGTAGATAGTGGTGAATCAGGACGGCAGTGACTGACAACACACTAGGGAACTTGCTGTGATTGAAAGTGGGACAACCACCTATTTGTGCGAGTGGCATGCAAGATACCCAGTTCCTCTTGCACAAAGTAGTCATGGCCTCATTAAGAACCTGAATCTAATCAGGCTTCTCCGTCTAATTACTAGTTCACAGACGACACGGTAAGGAACACATGAAAAGGGTGGTGGGGTGAAGATTATGGACCTGCTTCAGGTTCTAAAAGACTTACAGAAATATGGTCATGTGCAGTATGTGTGGTCTTCGGATCCTTGTTTGCTCTAGTTCAACAACCAGGGTTGACACTGTGGTCCTTTCACCTGCTATTCTGACACCAGCTGTTTCCCTACAGCACTCTACAGCTGTATGGGGTTTACTCATTTGTTTCCGTGGCCACACAGAACTGATTCTCAGAGAAAATACAATTAAACGGGTATATTAGACAAGTTAATGTTGTTAGGTGTGCCATTGCGTCAAGCCATTTCATGCACAACAGAACCAAACACTGCTCTGTCCTGCCCCATCTTCATAATTGTTCTGATGTTTGAGCCCGTCAGTGCAGCCATTGTGTCCATCCATCTTACTCAGGGTCTTCCTCTTTTCTGGTGCCCAGCATACAGATTGAACAAGTATGTTGAGCGATGTAACCCTGAAAGACAGACCTTTCCTGATTTTAAACCATGCAATATTCCCTTGTTCTGTTCACACAGCTGCCTCTTGATCCTTGTTCATGTTAATTAATTATAAATTAGCTAATTAGTTATAAATTAATAGAATAGGTAAGGAAGTTAATAGGTTTCTACAGGTTAAGACCAATGAACAGTAAGGATATCGACATTGGACTCCTCGGCCAGCAGCCAACTATCTCCGCTTCTCAGCCTTTTGGCCACGAGCCCCTTGACCTGTTGAGTCTGACCACCTGCTTGTCACTCTGTCCTGCAGTTGCGCAATGGCCACCTGAGGAGGTGTCCCATAGTCTGGCTGCTACTCTTCTGAATACCTTTGGTTTTGGTAGCCTCCACTGAAGTCTTCTACGTTTCTTTCTTCCCGGTTTCCAAGAGTGGGTCATCTTTATAGACAGAGGGGTGGTAATGAAAACTGACCAGTCCCCTCTGTTTAGTGTTATAAATGCCCTATTTGCATAGTCCCACCCAATCCTTTGGTGGGAGTTAGACTTGGGTTGAAAAGCCACGGGAAGACACTACCATGTCTTCTAGTAGACAGTGCTGCTCCAGGGGTTTTGCCTTTTCCTAGTTATAGATATTATTAGGTGTTATTATAACAAAGACGTTCCACTGTAATTAGCCCTTGCAAAGAATTATGATAATTCAGTGTATTTTTGTTTTCATAGCTCTTTTATCTTCCTGCCAAGAAGAATGTGGACTCCATTTTAGAGGATTATGCAAACTACAAGAAATCTCGAGGAAACACAGACAATAAGTAAGAATATGTACTTCTTCTTAGTACCTAAAAGGCATGTTCCTTTGAAATATTTTACTTTCAAATTAGGTGTTTGAAACTTGTCACTCTGAAAATTTAATGCTGTGAGAAATGACTAAAAATTAAATTTTGTTGACTAGTTAATGGTGTTTGGTGAACTTTTTTTTTTTAACCATCAGACATTTTAGCCTTTGTAGTCCCAAAGGTAAAACGGAGGCTTCTATGCAGATACTCTTATACCCTACCCCGTGGCCATAGTTGCTAATCTATGGCTTAACATAGTTTTGAAAAGTTATTTCATAGTAACCTTGTTCAAGTCCCTTTGAAAAATAGTCTGCAGTTGGGCAGCGAGCTCATTGTCCCTAGCTTAACCTTAGCTTCTTTCCTGCGTGTTGGTGGAGATTTTTTCCACGGGCCACCTTTAAAAGTGACTGTTTGATTCATCAGGGAATATGCTGTTAATGAAGTCGTGGCAGGGATAAAAGAGTACTTCAACGTAATGCTGGGCACTCAACTGCTCTACAAATTTGAGAGACCTCAGTATGCTGAAATCCTTGCAGACCACCCTGATGCGCCCATGTCCCAGGTGTACGGAGCGCCACATCTATTGAGATTATTCGGTAAGTGCCCTTTAGAAAATCATTTTGCTTTTTCCTTTGGACCTTCATTCGTGATTGTTATTTTTTTTTCTGTTACCTAGAACACTTTGCTTTGGCACATAGTTGGGTTTTTTTTTAAATAATTTAAAAGTTCTAAGTATCTCTAAGTTTAAAGTGAAGAGTATATATAGTTAAAATAAGATTTTCTCATGTATTTTAAGGGAATTTTAGTGTTTGCATTTGCTTACATATTTGAAATATACGGTTATAGAACTGCTTAGGTATAATTTGGACTTAATTCTTTTGTTTAAAAAAGTGCGAATTGGAGCGATGCTGGCCTATACACCTCTGGATGAGAAGAGTCTTGCTTTGTTACTGAACTATCTTCATGATTTCCTAAAGTAAGTTTACATCTGCTTAGAAGCAAAACATAGTATACTGAGATTTACTGTGCCAACAAAAACACAATATTGAGTAAATAAAGCAAAGTACTGATACAGGTAAAGGGCAGACCATCAATAGAACACTATAAATATATGGACACTTTCGACATGGCCTATCAGTGAAATGGAGAAATTAAAGAAATATTTATAGTACATTATGACATCATAACTTGCTAGTCATTTGGAATTTAGATCCATGCTGTCATGTAACATAATTCTAGATGAGTCATAACTTCTCAAAGAAACTTACTAAAATTCAGGAAGGTAGGTTCATACTTTTTAGTTTTTTAGTTAGAATGGCCTTCCTATACACCACATTTTAATGATACTAGAAATGATTGTTGGATTTGACTATAGAAAGTAAAAGTCTGATGAAAATAACCTTAAAACAAAGGAAGGGATAAAAGAATATTAATTTGTGTTTGTTAACATGTATGAGTACACAAGAGTTTTTATTTAAAAGGTGAACCAATAAATTTAAAATAGAACAGGAAATTCACAGAACTAACATACAACCATAGCATAAAGCATTTGACGGCATAATAAAAACAAAGTGTCAATGGACCTGTAAAGGGACCATAGTTTAAAATGTTGGGAAAGCTTTTTGGAGGAACTATTTGGGCAATAAAACTTTTAATTATATCCAAACAAAATGTGTTTAAATGGGACTGAGCAATGACTAGCTGCAGACAAGTTCTCTGAGCACTTTATCAAACTAAGACAAGTACGTTGCTCAGAGAACTTGTTCTACAGCCAGTCATTCATTGATCAGTCACGTGTAAACAAGGTCCAGTCTCAACTGGGGCTTCTAAGGGGATATGGTGGTATACCTAAGTAAATACAGAAAGGTCAGCTCAGAAGGTTCATTAAGAAGAAAAACTATAGGGGGCAGGAAGGGAGAGCCGATCGCAATGATGGACATAACTGACCACACAAGCCTCAAGGGGGAACAGAGAGTGGTGGTCAGTGTAAGATAGGAAAAAAGAATTTATAATTTATCCAAGGGGTCCGGGGTGAGGGAGGATGGAGGGGGAAAAAAGAGGAGCTTCATACAATTGATGTGTAGATTGTTATAAGAGTTGTAAGAGCCCTCAATAAAATGATCTAATAAAAAGAAAAATGAAAACTGCCGCCATTGAGTCGATGCAGACTCCTGTCAACCCTAGAGTCCAGAGTAGCAGTGCTCCAACGTTGAGGGAGCAGACAGCCTCATCTTTCTCCTTTGGAGTAATGGGCGGATTAGGACCCACTGACCTGTGGGTTAGCAGTTCACTGTGAAGCCCACTGCATCCTTGGGGCTCCTTTCCAGAAGGTTATAGTATCTCTTGAGAGACCAAGAAAATCTTGGTAACTTTTCTTGAAGGACACTGGGCCGCTAGTGGGGGGGGTGAGGTGGTGTAATTAATCTGTGTGGTTTGAGAAAAAGGCAAGAACCATATCCCATCCATCTTCCCCTGACTTTTCCCCTTAAGATTTTTTAATATTCCTAAAACAGCATTCAAAAGGAAACTATTTGAGTACCTTAAGAATGCAAAAGCTGCCATTTGATTTATGTGCATAACTACAGAGAAGGGTTAGAGAGGTGGGGGCATCCCTTTCAGAAGTACAGCAATCTAGAGTATTTGCACTTTGATACTTTAATAAGGCTTCTCTGTCGAATTAACCCAAGTATCTGGTGTCTGGTAACCCCACATGTAAGAACTGTACCACAGGCTTTCAAGGCTGTGATTTCCCCAAGTACCTTTGGGTGGATTGGAACCACCAACTTTGTAGGTATTGTGAAGTACTTCACTGTTTATTCCTCCAGGGGGCATCAGCTCATTATTTGGATGTCCTGGCTGTTGGCCTCTGTTTGGAAGTAAATTGAAATAATTCTACACCGTACTCCTCTGGATAGTGCTGTCTGCAAGGAAAACTATTTCCCTGAGGTACAGGAATGGAACACCTGGAGCCCTGGCGGTGGTAGGGAGTTAAACATTGGACGACTCCTGCTAATCACAAGGCCAGCAATTGGAAACCACTAGCTGCTCTATGGGAGAAAGATTAGTCTTTCTACTCTCAGAAAGATTCAGTCTCTTAAAGCCACAGGAACAGTTCTATGCCCTATAGTATAGGGCTGCTATGAGTCAGAATCAACTCAATGGCAGTAAAAAAATGAGTTTTTAAATTATAACATCATAAGGGCAATGATTGCATTTGTATGTTTTATGTGACATGTATGCATATTCTGTGGGAAGGAGGTGTTCAGATCAAGATAAGAATTTTTCATCTTTATCATGAATAACTTTTATTTTCAGGTACCTGGCAAAGAATTCTGCCACTCTGTTTAGTGCCAGTGACTATGAAGTGGCTCCTCCGGAGTATCATCGGAAGGCTGTGTGAGACTGCTGACACTCGCTTCTCTTTGAGTCTCTGTAAACACATTTTGTTCTTAGTCCCTCTCCTGTACAGATGATGTACTTTGAAAATGTTAGCACATAACAAAATCGACGTATGTTTTGTTTTCTGTTTGATTTTAAACAGAGAAAATAAAAGGGGTTATAGCTCCTTTTTTCTTTTCTTTCCTTTTTTTTACATTTCAAAATTGCTACCAGTGTATTCAGTGATGGACAACAGAAAGACATACTGTTGAGTGTTTTATTGCCTAGTTGACAAAGCTGCTTTTGAATGCTGGTGGTTCTATTCCTTTGACACTACGCACTTTTATAATACGTGGTAATGCTATATGACAAAATGCTCATTCCTAGTGCCAAAGGTTCAATTCAGTGTATATAACTGAACACACTCATCCATTTGTGCTCTCTTTTTTTAATGGTGCTTAAAGTAAAAGAGCCCATCCTCTGCAAGTCATCTATGTTGTTCCTTAGGCATTTCATCATCCTTGCGCAGATTGTTGAAGAATGGTGGCTTGTTTCATGGGTTTTGTATTTGTGTCTTATGCACGTTTTAACATGATAGACGCAATGCATTGTGTAGCTACAATTTCTGGACAAGTCAATCTTTTAGGAATTGTTTTTCAGATCTTCAATAAATGTTTTTCTTTAAATTTCAAAGAACAATGTGCTTGTGTGGATGCATTACACATACCTTTTATAGTGTGTCTTTTATTTAGAGACAGTGTGTTTCCAGGTGGATGTTCAATTTTCCAATATGAAATAAAGAACTTGGCCTAACCTATCTGGTGCTGAGCCATAATAGCATTGGCATTTTGCGGTTTTGATGATTCCCAGCTAAGAAGCTAGAGATCTATTTCCCCAAGTTTATTAAACCGACATTAGGGCACATGAATCAGCAATATATTGTAAAGTACGTGTGAAGGGCAATCTTTTTTGCCTTTGGTAGAGGTACTAAAGTGGTTGAACTTGGGGTGGAATTTATGGTACTCATTACAATGAAAAGGCAAAGGTAAGTTCAGGTGGCAAGCGTGGGGGGTGTGTATTCAGTTGGAGGGGTAATCATAGTGTGTATTTGTATAATTTATTTTAGTCCAAGCACAGTGGAATCTTGTTCCTTGGAAGCGTCTAGCTATTGCAATTTTATTCACTTCTCAAAACAAAAATTCATGGCTGTCAATTCAATTCCGACTTCCTAGTAGGGAAGAACTAAGACAGGCTCTGCGGATTTCTGAGACTATAACAAATGGGAATAGAAAACCCCATCTTTTTCCTACTGAGCAGCTGTGGTTTTAAACTGCCAACCAACTGTGTGGTTAGCATCCCAAGGAACCGCTACGCCACGGAGCTCCTTATTAGATGTGGTAAAACGTACTCCGTATCCCATGAATGTTGGTGCATTTAGTTATGTAAGTAGGAGCAGGTGGCGGCGGTTTCTGTTGGTTGTCCTGTCCCAGGCCCCACCCCCAACAGTGCCTACACAGTGCTTATTGTGAGCATAATGTATTTTTTTCTAAGCCAAAATCACCTGTGTATGTTATTCTACTTTTATTTCATATTATTGTACCTTAATTTGAAACTTTATAGGCAGTTGCCTGTAAGAGTCTCTCAGATCCTTTTGGTTTGACGGCTATTTTTACTGTGTTAAAAATTGAGAGCTCCTAAGGACTACTGTTCATAGAGTTGTATTTTTCTATCTTCCATTTAAGAAAAATAAATTTTAAAACCTAAGACTGGAAGAACATATTCCATAGCCGCCAGTGCTATCACAAATCACGTAACCTCTCAGAAACGTCATGGCTACTCCTGTGTGGAAAAGAAGTCAAATGATTGTTTCCTGGTTATTTGCTGTTGACTTGATGCCAACTCATGGGAACCCGGCGTGTGCAGAATAGAATTGCACTACCTTAAAGTCTGGTCTAGTATTAAGTTTCGTGGTAATGGTAAGAGTAGCTTGAATTAATATAGTGTTAAAATAATCCTGAACTGATCACTGTATTACTCATTGCTTGACACACACACCCCTTCCCCCCATAAAATAGCAAAAAACACAAAATACTTAGCTCAAAATACATAATAAAACCAAGATATTTATTTCCAACTCATCACGGAGGTTTCCGAGCCTCAGCTGAGTATTCTCTGGCTATTTGTACCTCTGTTTCGTTTCCTCATTACAATTCTAGTTCAGCTAAAGGGTCAGGCTCTTAATGAGCAGGATGGTTTTCTAAAGTTCACTCCATAACCGTCCTCATCTTGGTTGCCAAAAACATGTGCCAACTAGTTGTTTTCAGTCATTGGTGGTAAACTGACGGATGTGTAGCGCTGGCTCCATTCTTGGAACTTGATCTACACATGTTTATTGTAAAGTTATGAATACAGCGAGATAGTTAGCTTTCTTGATATGCCTATGCCATTTGATAGTATCAGTACACTGTATTGGGCATTTTTTTCTAGTTTGTCTGTTACCCAGTTGTCGTTTTCCCATGGCTCCTCTTAGTAGCCCCTCACTTCTCACCTCTGCCAAGCATGCCCTTGTATGCCTTTTGAGCTGCCGTCTTTGCCTGTCTATAGGGCATTAGTTATTAGTTGCTCTCATTCTTAGAATTTGTCAAGTTATCTTCATATTTAATCCTTCCATACAGCACAGCGACCTTTCAAAAATGACCTGTTAACACAAGCAGGAGTCTCGCCCCAGTGCTAGCTAAGAAGTGACTGATCCAGGTTGAAAGATCAACCACACATCTCATCAGTGGTTGAGTTTTCTAAAACATTTTCTATTCTCTTTCCCGAGCTGCCTTTTTTTGGGGGCATATGACCAAGTATGATTCAAATAGTTTTCTAGTCTTAACCCCTGCTGGAATCCTCCACCCCGCACGCACCCCCCACCCTGCGCGCGCGCACACGCACATTTCCTTTTTCATAGTGCCATGAGTAGTTTTCATAAGTCATAACTCTTCCTTAAATTGGATAGTAGTTTGAATTAAGAGTGTTAAGTCAGCTTGAGTTAGGGTGCCAACTCCTGAAACGCCTTCTCAACTTCAGGTGTTATTTCACCTGTCTTGTTCTAGGCTTGTTCCCCACACCATTGAATGAAAAAAAGCAAGTTGGGAAATGTTACAATGTATGAAGAAACAGCTTATTTTTTAAGTATTTATTTTAAATAATTTTATTGGGGGCTCGTACAACTCATCACAATCCATACATCAATTGAATCAGGCAAGTTTGTAGATATGTTGCCCCCATTCTCTTCTAGGCATTTACTTTTTAAAAAAAAACAAACATTTTATTAGG